TTAGGAGGGGAGGCTGAGGGAAACTGGGCTTCTTTCGTCTGCAGAAGAGAAGAGTGAGGGGGAATTTGATAGCACCTTCAACTACCTGAGGGGGGTTCCAAAGAGGATGGGGCTCGGCTGTTCTCAGTGGTGGCAGATGACAGAACGAGGAGCAATGGTCTCCAGTTGCAGTGGAGGAGGTCTAGGCTGGAGATCATGAAACACTATTTCAATAGGAGGGTGGTGAAGCGCTGCATTGGGTTCCCTAGGGAGGGGGTGTTCTATGCAAATCAGGTTGCATATCAGGACTCCCAGGTTCTGTCCGTGGCTCTGAAAGAGGAGTGGGGTCTCGTGAGTTAGAGTGGGCTGGGAGTCAGGAGTGCATATCAGGACTCCCAGGTTCTGTCCGTGGCTCTGAAAGAGGAGTGGGGTCTCGTGAGTTAGAGTGGGCTGGGAGTCAGCAGTGAGGACTTCTCGGCTGTCTTCTTGGTTCTAACACTGAATTGAACACATCTTTTTTCTACCTCAGTTTCCCTATTTCTTACATGGGGAAAATATCACTTTGCTATCATGTAGGGACATAGAAGGGCAGGGGAAGGTGTTCTGAGGTTTAATTGATGTTTCCACATGAAAGCTCTAAAAAACCGAAGTGGGAAAATTTTTCTCTTTCTTTCTTTCTTAAAACTACCTGACACTCACGTCATGAATTTAAAGGCCCCCACACTCTGGAGAGGAAAGAGTTGATGCTCCTGGGATCGCTGGCTGGAGGCGCACAGCCATCAATCCAAAGGCTTAAGAAGCATCAATCGTATTCTGAAAAAGAGAATTGGCAGGATCAGCGATGAAAAGTGGGCTGAAGTCGAGCGTGGCTGAGCTGACATAACTCTGAGAGCAGAGAGTTATGGCGGGATGTGTGTGTGTGTGTGTGTGTGAAAGGTTCACCGCAAAGCCAGGCAGAAATCCCTCTTCAGAGCAGCTGAATTCTTGTTTTTCTGTCTGCACAGACGTGTGGGATTTGTTCGCAGGCACAAGCTACACCCCAGATAGCCACATCAGCAGCTGAAAATGTATTCTAGCCACAGACACTCAGGCAGCAAACAGACTTGTCTGTGGTTTTGAGTCAGATACAAATGACCAGCTAGCAAGATGCCTTTCCCCATCCGGAGAGTTAAATGGAACTGGGCAGAACTGCTGCAAAAGCAGGTGGAATTTCTCCAAGATCTGCCTGCCCACACGTTCAGTGAGGAGGCATTGGTGGTAACAACTCCCACAGCGCCACCTCTTGGTTCCTCGTGGTATTTCGCCCACGGTCACTGCCTGGGGAGGGGTGGGGAGCCGAGGTTTGTACTGAGAAGGGATTTTTCCAGCCTCCAGGGAGCGCTCTGCAATGGTGTGCAAAGGTGTGCAAAGGTGTGTGCGTCCAGAGAGCAATCGTGCTCCGGCCCCCTGCAGCTCTGCGCCCCCTCGGAAGGGACCTGCATCACTGTCGTGGCAGAGATCAGGCTGGGTGAGTGAAAGAAGATTTCTACTAAGTGTAGACACCATTGTCCTCCTGAAGCCGGGGTAGAACCCAGAAGTCCTGGCTCCCAGCCCGTCCCCCTACTCTAACCAATAGTCTCCGCTCCTCTCCAGGAGCAGGAACTGCCCAGTCTGGAAAGATAATGTCATAGACGGGGGATGGGATGAGATGGGGAATTGCAGTGGGTGGCTGTGGGGCTGGATCAGGCAGAAGAGAGGATTTTATTGGGGGTGGGGGGGAAGATGAGATTAGTTGGGGGTGGGGTGGATGGATACAAAAGGGGAGGATTGAGCAGCTGGGGGTCCATTGGGGAGCTCAGAGGTGAAGCTCTGTTTCCCTTCCACAGAGGGATACTACTTCTCCTACACGGCTCAATCGTGCCTGGAGCCCCAGAACTTTGAGCCCAGCCCCTTCTCGCTGACCTACCCGCACAATGTCACCGTGCGGATGAACATCGTCAGCTGTGACACCAACGGCTGTAACGCCAGGGCCATCCCAGGTGTGTGTCTGCTGCAAACCTAGAGCCCTGCTCCGGCCACACCTGCCTGGAGAGAACCCAGGAGTCCTGGCTCCCAGCCTCACCCCCCACCTCTAACTCCTAGACCCCACTCCCCTCCCCGAGCTGGGATTGAGCCCAGCGTGTGGTGACTCCCCACCCCTGGCTGACTGTGTGTGTCTGACTGTTCTCAGTGCCAACTGTGAGCTCCGTCCCCAACGGCTGGCAGTGCCTGTCGTTCTTCAACGTGTAGCCATATCACGAGAATGAGAAGGAGAAGAAGAGGGAGAAGGAGAAGGAGAAGGTGCTCTTGGCCTGCACCGGCGCCGAGGAGCATTGTATTGAGGATTATGGGGTGTTAACACTAGGTAAGTCCTCCTGATGGGGGCGGGGTCTGAACACAGAATACGAGGTGGAGACCAGGTGTCCTGGCTCAGTCCCAGCCCTCCTGGCTCTGACCCACTAGACTCCACTCCCCTGGCAGATTTGCAGAGAGAACCCTGGAGTCCTACTTGCTGAGATGCCAAAGGAGCACTCAAGGAGGATAAGGCCACTGCGGAGAAACTAAATGAATTCTGTGCACCGGTCTTCACGGCTGAGGCTGGGAGGGAGATTCCCAAACCTGAGCCATTCTGTTTTCATGACAAATCTGAGGAACTGTCCCAGATTGAGGTGTCATTACAGGAGTTTTTGCAACAAATTGATAAATTAAACAGTAACAAGTCACCAGGACCAGATGGGATTCGCCCAAGAGTTCTGAAGGAACTCAAATTTCAAATTACAGAATGACTAACTGTGGTTTGTAACCTACCATTTAAATCAGCTTCTGTCCCAAATGGCTGGAGGATGGCTAATGACATGCCAATTTCTAAAAAGGGCTCCAGAGGTGGTCCAGGCAACTACAGACTAGTAAGTTTGACTTCAGTACAGGGTAAAATCATTGAAACTATAGGAAAGAAGAGAACTGTCAGACACACAGATGAACATAATTTGTTGGGGAAGGGTCAACATGGTTTTGGTAAAGGAAAATCACGCCTCACCAGTATACTAGAATTCTCTGAGGGGGTCAAGAAGCGTGTGGACAAGGGGGATCCAGTGGCTATAGGGTACTTAGATTTTCAGAAAGCCTTTGAAAAGGTCCCTCACCAAAGGCTCTTAAGCAAAGTGAGCTGTCATGGGATAAAATCCTCTCATGGCTCAGTAAATGGTTAAAAAGATAGAGAAAAAAGGGTAGGAAGAAATGGTCAGTTTTCAGAACGGAGAGCGGTAAATAGTGGGAGTCCCCCAGGGATCTGCACTGGGCCCAGTGCTATTCACCATATTCCGAAATGTTCTGGAAAAAAGGGTAAATAGTGAGGTGGCAAAATTTGCAGAAGATACAAAGCTACTCAAGATAGTAAAGTCCAAAGCAGACTGTGAAGAGGTACTAAAGGGTCTCTCAGAACTGGGTGACTGGGCAACAAAATGGCAGAGGAAATTCAATGTTGATAAATGCGAAGTAATGCACATGGGCAAACGTAATCCCAAGTAGACATACACAATAATGGGTCAAATTTACCACTCAAGAAAGATCTTGGAGTCACTGTGGAGAGTTCTCTGAAATCATCCACTCCATGTGCAGCGGCCGTGAAAAAGGGAACAGAATGCTGGGAAATATTAAGAAAGGGACAGAGAATGGGACAGAGATCTAACCCCAAAGATTGTGTTGCCTCAATATAAATGCCATGGGAAGCCCACAGCTTGAACACTGCAGGCGGATGTGGTCGCCCACTCTCAGAAAAGAGATATCTTGGCATTGGAAAAGCTTCAGAAAAGCCCAAACAAAATGATGAGGGGGTTGGAACGGCTGCCATATGAGGAGAGATGAATAAGAGTGGGACTTTTCAGCCTGGAAAAGAGATGGCTAAGAGGGGATATGATTGAGGTCTAGAGAAGGTTGAAGGGTGTGGAGGAAGGAAATAAGGAAGTGTTATTTACTCCATCTAACATAAGAAGGAGGGGTCACCACAGGCAGCAGGATTAAAACAAACAAAAGGAAGTACTGCTTCACACAACGCACAGTCAACCTGTGGAACTCATTGCCGGAGGATGTTTTGAAGGCCAAGACTATAACAGGGTTCAAAGAGGAACGAGAGAAGTTCCTGGAGTACAGGTCCATCTGTGGCTATCGCCAGGATGGGCAGGGAAGGCGGCCCTAGCCTCTGTTTGCCAGGAGCTGGGAATGGGCGACAGGGGAGGGATCAGTGGAAGGTTCCCTGTTCTGTTCATTCCCTCTGGGGCACCTGGCATTGGCCAGAGGATACTGGGCTAGATGGACCTTTGGGATGACCCAGGAGGGCCGTTCCTCTGTTATGTTCTCACATTGTTCCAGCCCCCTGGTCTGAGCACTAGACCCCAGTCTGCCTGCAGAGCCGGGTGCAGTCCTCCTGGGAAGGGAGTGTGTGAGAGACCTCATTGGGGTCGGGGGGGGGGACTGGGAGCCCCTGATTACATCTCTCTCCCCGCATCCAGGTGACATCAAGCTGATGAAGAGTGCGGCTGGATGTGGCTCCCCTGGCGCCTGCATGAAGAGATTGTTGGTGAAGAAATACGCCCAGGGCCTGGTGGAGATGCTGAGCCGGACCAACTGCTACCCAGCTCCCTGGGCCAGTGGAAGCATCGGGGAGCCCTGAGCCCCGGCCTGGCATCCTCCCCTTCTGCTGCGTGCTGGGCTGCAGTGCACCTCCCTTCAGCAGCCTCCGGCTGCTGCTTCTCTTTGGGGGGGATTGCGGGTTCCTTTTGTGCATTGGCTGAATAAAGTGGGTTGTCCGGAAAGCACCCCCCTAGCTCCTTGTCCCCTGACTGCCCCGTACCAGGCCCCACACCGCCCCTATCTGTGCACAAGTGATGCTGGCAGGAAGAGAACGCGGGAGTCCTGACTCCCAGTACCCCACCCTGTAACCCACCAGACCATACTCCCTTCTGAAAGCCAGGGGTAGAGCCCAGGATTCCTGGCTCCCAAGCCCACTGCTTTAGGGCCAGGGAATGGAACCCAGGAGTCCTGCCTAGATCCCCTCCCCCAAGGCAAGGCCCGTGGCCGGGGGAAAGACACCTGCTGGCTGAGCTCCCCTGGGGAAGGAGGGCTGTGGGAAGGAGAGGCCGTGGCTCACCCAGCTGTCCAGGTGGGCGGGAAAGCCCTGGAGGGGAGAAATGTCCTTCTAGGTTGATTTTGCAGGGCTCAGTTCGTCCTCTTCTCTGGGGCGGCTCCACTGGGAGTGCCAGGCTCAGGGAAGGTGTCAGGAAACAGGGCAGATCCCCCCAGCCGGTGGTGCTCTGTGAGCAGATTTCACCCAGTGTGAACTCCTGGATCGCTGCCCCCGTCTGACCCCGGAGTCACAGCCAGTCCCCTCAGATACTCTCAGACAAGCCGGACTTTGTGAGGAAACCTCACGTACACCCCAACCTAGCCCACCCAGGTTGTCCCCTGCCCCAGGAGACCGGTCACTTACCCCAGAGCCACGGGACCCCAGATCCTCCACCAAAGGCAACGCTGGCAGCCAGGTCTGTAGGAATCTCGCTAAAGGTTCATGAGCTAAGGAAAGGGAATGAGGGTCACAAGGGGTTAAAGCAGGTAAAATTCATGCCCAGGTGAGTCGCAGTCTGTAATTCCAAATGGTGGCGGTGAAGGAAGAAACTGCGATTTTCCAAAGTCTTTTCAGGTGCCCCCAGACGGTCTCCAGGGATCCCCGCTTTGCATCCGGTTCTGGTCCCTGTAAGCATCCAGCCAGCCCAGCGAGGCAGGGTTCCCTCAATCCATCCTTACAGCTTCTTCTCCCAGAGAACAAGGTGGCAGGGCCCCCACCCACGTGGGCTTTGCCTTCGATGGGGGGAGGGAGGAACGCGGTGGTCTGCACACGCGATGCCCCTGCCTTTGGGGTCAGCACTTTTCTGGTGCTAAAGTTCTTCGTTAGCATCCCTACGGCATTGTCAAGGTTCCTTCCCCACTCTGAACTCTAGGGTACAGATGTGGGGACCTGCATGAAAACCTCCTAAGCTTACTTTTACCAGCTTAGGTTAAAACTTCCCCAAGGTACAAGCTATTTTACCCTTTCCCTTGGATTTCCACTGCCACCACCAAACTTCATCTGGGTTCCTGAGAAAACGTAGTTTGGAAACGTCTTTCCCCCCAAAATCCTCCCAACTCTTGCACCCCACTTCCTGGGGAAGGTTTGGTAAAAATCCTCACCAATTTGCATAGGTGACCACAGACCCAAACCCTTGGATCTTAGAACAATGAAAAAGCATTGAGTTTCCTTATAAGAAGACTTTTAATAGAAGTAGAAAAGAATCACCTCTGTAAAATCAGGATGGCAAATACCTTACAGGGGAATTAGATTCAAAAGAGAGAGAATCCCTCTAGGCAAAACCTCAAGTTACAAAAAGACACACAGACAGGAATATCCATTCTATTCAGCACAGCTATTTTCTCAGCCATTTAAAGAAATCATAATCTAACACATACCTAGCTAGATTACTTACTAAATTCTAAGAGTCCATTCCTGTTCTGTCCCCAGCAAAAGCATCACACAGACAGACACAGACCCTTTGTTTTTTCTCTTTCCTCCCAGCCTTTGAAAGTATCTTATCTCCTCATTGGGCATTTTGGGTAGGTGCCAGCGAGGTTACCTTTAGCTTCTTAACCCTTTACAGGTGAGAGGATTTTTCCTCTGGACAGGAGGGATTATAAAGGGGTTTACCCTTCCCTTTCTATTTATGACAACAGGTGAAAGTGTTTTGCCACTGGCCATGAGGGATTTTAGAGCTCCAGGGACAGAAAGGTGGTTCCCCTTCCCTTTATATTTATGACAGGTCCGTTCTTATGTTATTTTAAAAATATATAAAAGTGTCACGGCCACACTGTGACTGACAAATAGCTTCCTTTCTCATTTCCACTGTGTAATTATAAGATAACTCCACTGGGATATAAATCTTGTTCTTACAGTTCAGTGGATAGTACATAGAGCTGCACAAACAAGTCATTGTGTCAGGAAATTTTAGCTCGTACTGACTTCACTAGTGCTTTTTATCTGGCCTGTTGTAAAATGAGGCAAACATCAAGATGAGCTGATGTACCACCCTGGAAGACCTGTGTGTACCCCTGGGGTACACGGACCCCTGGCTGAGAACCACTGGTCTCCACGAATGCACAAGGAAATTGGCCTCAAGACACATTGGCATCACCTGATCAGCCAGTGTCACATGCAGGGTTGTGAAATCTCCCATCTCCGGTCCCACCAGGATGTCACGGGGCAGCCCCAGCCCATCCCTTAGGGGTAGGTATTTGCCAACATTTCCGCAGAGAAGGACCTGGGGATTACAGTGGATGAGAAGCTGGCAATGAGTCAGCAGGGTGGCCTTGTTGCCAAGAAGGCCAACGGCATTTTGAGCTGCATCAGTAGGAGCGTTGCCAGCAGATGGAGGGAAGAGATTATTCCCCTCTATTCGGCACTGGTGAGGCCACATCTGGAGTACTGGGTCCAGTTTTGGGCCCCCCACTACAGAAGGGATGTGGACAAATTGGAGAGAGTCCAGCGGAGGACAACGAAAATGATTAGGGGGCTGGAGCACGTGACTTAGGAGGGGAGGCTGAGGGAACTGGGTTTCTTTCGTCTGCAGAAGAGAAGAGTGAGGGGGAATTTGATAGCATCCTTCAACTACCTGAGGGGGGTTCCAAAGAGGATGGAGCTCGGCAGTTCTCAGTGGTGGCAGATGACAGAACGAGGAGCAATGGTCTCCAGTTGCAGTGGGGGAGGTCTAGGTTGGAGGTCAAGGGGAGGGACGGCATCCACAGGACAGCAACCGGGACCCCAGGGCAGGTCACAGCGGTGAGAGCTCAGCTGCCCGGCCCTGGGGAGCAGCTGGCCGCACGCTGCATGGTGGACGTCTCTTTTTCTTCCATCGGTGGCGGTTGCTACTTCAGGCTGATGGTGGCCAGTGAGAAGCTGGGAAGGCTGGGCTGTGCAGGCCCTGGGGCCCGCCCGCCCCTTCTGTCTGCAGTCCCACCCCTGTTCTGCTCCTTCCCCAGTGGCCCTGCCCCGGTTCCCCCCACAGTCCTGTCCCAGTCCACCCACCCCCTTGCAGCCCCCCCGGCCCACGGCCCCAAGACCAGGAAAGATCTGTCCCGCCGCCAACTGGGGGTGAGAGCTCTTCCAGTCCCCGGGCCACAGCCGCAGCTGGGGTCCGGGCGCTGGGGCTTCCCCCGCCACCTGGCACTTCTGCCAGGCACCGGGCTTGGGGTGCAGGGGTGCCCATTTTCCAGGGGGCCCCCAATGGGCTGAGGCTGCTGGGCAGAGGCCCTGGCGGCCCATTGGCTAATCTGCCACCGCTGCACTGCGGGTAGGGGTGCAGGCTCCCCTGGCTGAGCTGCCCTGGCAGGGCAGGGCAGGGCAGGTGGGGGCAGGGGGCAGGGGGCTCTGTGTGTGGACGGAGCGGGGTTTGGGTTTAAACACGGGTCAGAGCCATGTCCACAGGGAGAGGGGGAAGCCGGCTGGCTTTGAAACAGGGGAGCGTGGCTCCGAACTCGCTTGCAAAGCGACAGGGTGTGACAAGAGGCTCTGGCCCCATAGGGAGCCTGGGGCTGAGCCTTGCCCAGAGCTGGGCCAAGGGCATAGCCAGGTAAAGCGGGAACTGCCGGGAGGCTGCGAGAGCCTGGCCCACTGGAAATCCCGGCCCTGGGCCTCCCTTTGTCCTAGTGCCTATGGGCCCTGAGAGCCGGGGCTGGAAGGAATCCGGGACAGGCGCTCACCTTCCCAGATCTGCCCGCTGATGGAAATGCACTGGCTGGCACGGCCCTCGCACTGCAGGGTCTCCGTGCTGGAACAACTGCTCCGACCAGGGGCAATGCAGATCGGGCACCGGCCTCCCGTCTAGACGGTGTTGATGATCGGCCCTGCAAGACCCCCAAAGAGAGGGTTGGTGGGGGTTGACGGGCAGGGCTGAGGACAGGTGCCTTCTCTACTTTGTTACCACTTATTTCTAGCACCGCAATAACTGAGATCAGGGACCTCCTTGTGCCAAGAGCTGCACAGACTCCCCAGAGCAGGGGCCCTGATTGCACTGGGCACTGCATAGATCCCCCCAGCCTGCTACTGGGGGCCCCCCATTGTGCCAGGCACTGTATGCCTCCCTCCCCTGAGATCAGGGTCCCTCCTATGGCACCAGGTGCTACACGGGACCCCACCCTTCTCCAGAAAAGAACCTTTTCCGAACCAGTTTGACACTCAGTCGGAGCCTGGGCCACTGGGAAGAAGCAGGGAGGGATGCAGAGACGTACAGACAGGAGAGAACCGGGTATTGCAGCTGTTCGTAGAGCAGGTCCGGGATTGAATCTTCACAAAGACCCCGTTCCCGAAGAAGAGGAAGATATTCCTGGGCGTGGTGGAGGATACACAGGAGAAGGAATAGCCTGCATTTTCCTTCGCTTCTGGTTAGAAGCGAAACAGTCACAAAAATTATTTACAGATGAAACCAGCGCCCCGAGAGCTGGTGATTCCTGGGAGCCACCTCACCCCTTTTCCTGGCGTCCCAGGCCAGAAGGGCCCATACCCAGCATCTAGTCTGACCTGCCGCACAGCCCAGGCTGGAGAAGTCCTCCCTACATTGTGCCCGATTACGTGTATTTGATGAAAGCATC